GAAATGGCGCGACTAAATATTTTGCGTGTCTTCCGAATAGGCAGGGGCCAGAGATATCCATTCCGCGCGGGAACCTCTTCCAGCATTAAATAGCATTATTATGCGCGATGTGAAGACGAGCTTTTTTACAATGGCTTTAACGTTAATGTACAAAAGCCATTACTTTTATCGCGAACGAAGACGGGTTCTTCATTTTATTATATCTCCATAGTGCGATAGAATAAAATGGGACGCCTTTTGTCACGTAAATCGTAAACTGGATGTTATTTTATTGTACGCTCTCATTGACGGCAACTTTAAGCAATCGTTTGCTCGCGTCTCGTACGAAATTTAACGACGCCGTGCGTCCCTGGGAATTTTAGAAAACAAAATTTATTAACAGCAGGTCCCGTCGCCTCCTCCATACGGATGTCAACGCCCAGCGTCGTCGAATCTGCCTATAAAGCAAAATGTGCTGTGGATCATAAATTACAAGTTATTTCCTTTACTTCAAATTCAAACTAAACAATAATAAACATTATGAAATAAAAACCAAGGTAGAATTAAGAACAGCGATACCTTTAGTTTAATAATAATTATAAAACTACTTTATGTAAGTTCACTTTTGCGAAATCTCAATTCAGAAATTATTTCCTTGGGTATTATCATTAAAATCAATAAAAACGTATTTTTTTTAACGTTACACTTAGGCATAGAATTAACATTTAGTTTTAATAAACTTTTTTTCAGTTCACTTTTACAAAATGTTAAATGACGAATTATTTTCTTCGATTTTATAATTAAAATTAATTATACCGTCAAAATAAACAAATGTTACAAAATAAAAAAGAACTTAGAATTCACGACATAGTGGCTTTTGGTTTAATAATAATAAAATAAAAAATTCTACAAAATAAAAAAACAACTTAGAATTAACAACAGCGTGACCTTTAGTTTGATAATAATTATAATACTTATTATAATACAATCCATAAATATTTGCTGGTACTTGGCTAATCAATAATTAACATACTGATTCGATTGGGGCAAACTTTTAATCAGAAAGTTTTTGGGAATATGCGTTTAATATTAATTTTAGATTTTGACTAGCCAAAACTTTAGGAATATTAATTTGTAATGGTGCAATTTGCAATTCTATAGTATTTTACCAATTTTTGCTAAACAAAAATATGCCAGCGTTCTAAATAAAGGCTTCAAAATGCCAGATCGACAGAAAACCTCAAGTTTCCTACGTTTCGAGGGACTCGTGCTCAAACTAGATACCAAAATACCTCTGGCGTTTAATAAGGAGTCTCATCGCTTTGCGGAATATTAACAAACTGCAGTTGGGCAAGAAACTCGACTTGCCCGTAAAGTTTGGACGGCACTTAAGACCAGCCCTCGCCGGCACCTACCCCTTATGTTAGTTTACCGCTCTCCATTTTGGGCTAAATGCGCGGTTAGTAGATGTATAGTGCCGATATAAGCAACAGAAACCGTACATAACCTCAATTTCCTAACCCCCCCGCAGCGGGGGCCCCCCGCGCGAGGCGTCCTAGTGTCCCCCCTGTCTACCAGAGTGCGCTCCGCCCCCCACCCAGCTTGTGTAGCGTCCTGTTTTGCCCCGGTTCCGCCCGTCGCTGCTAGATGTCGCGCGCTTGTGTAGCGTCCTGTTTTGCCCCGGTTCCGCCCGTCGCTGCTAGATGTCGCGCGCTCCGACCGTCGTAGGCCCCCCCGGTAGAGGGCGGTGACGGTGCGGCGCGGTGACGCGGTGGATCGGGAGGATAATTAAATAAACTTGAATTTTAATACATTTTATTTTATTTTATTTATAAAATTGGTCTGGCGAGGAGTTTCTTCTTCTTTTTATGTCGATTCAGTCGACCATCCCATTGTTCCTGTTCCTTGCGTTGTTCTTCTTCCCGTTCCCGGAGGAAATCTAAATACGAAGTGCACTCCTCGCCGTCCCACTCCGTCGACCACCCACCCGGGTACTCCTGCTGCTCCTTTGTTTCTTTTGATCCACCGGGTTGCTCCTGCTGCTGGTGATGTTCCCTTGTCGTTTCATGTCGTACCGGGAATTCTAACCCCCGGTACTCTTTGTGTGATTTGAATATGTGACGCCCTAAGCGATGCGCCAACATAATATGCGACTTGTCATACGGACAAACCGCGATTTTTTCTAGAACAAAACAAAGTATGATATGTAGCGTTTCCTATAAAACACACATTTTTTTTTTAAACAAAACTTCCAAAAAGGGGGGTTATCAAATAATTTTAAAAATTGTTTTTTAAGTTATACGCGCATACCAAAATTCACGTTTCAATTCACTGTCATTTAAATGTAAGTGTATTATTGTCAAAAGGGCAAACTGCAATTTTTTAGTACAAAAAATAAACAAAAATATGTATATATTTCGCGTTTTCCCCATAAAACGCACATTTTTGAAACAAAACTTTCAGTAATTTTAAAAATTGTTTATTTTTTAAAAGCCAAAATTCCCTATTCACTGTCATTTAAAAGATATTAAAAACGCTCAATTTAATTCGATTATTATTGTCAAAAAGGCAAACTGCAATTTTTTAGTACAAAAAATAAAACATTTTTGAAACAAATTTAAAAATTGTTTATTTTTTAAAAGCCAAAATTCCCTTTTCCATTCACTGTCATTTAAAAGCTATTAAAAACACTCAATTTAAATCGGTTATTATGCAACGTAAAAAAGATGAGTATCATATTTTAAAACAGGTAGAAACTAACCAAAAAAGTGATAACCCAAACTGAAACCCACAAGAAAAGACGCGCACTGTATAAAGGTAATTAAAATATAAAACTTACCAGTTGTAGGGTCGTAGGGAAATGGACATCGCACTTCTCTATTCATTGCACTGAATATAGTCTATAATACACATGCAACGTATTTATACACATGCACTCCCTTCCATGGTTGAATTAAAAGTCGAAAGGTCTTCTACCCACAAGCACCAACGCCGATTTGAATAGACGCGATGTTGTCGCCAGACAACCGTGCAGGTAGGAGTCTCAAGGTCAACACGCTTTCACACGGGAACGCAACCGTTTCGGACGTTGGACGAACGTATGTTGCCGCAAAAGATCAAGGCCAACTTGCTTTCATTTTTTACAATCTCCGTATGGGATGTGGAATTTCAAAACGCGCCGAGTCTAAATGTCAAGTTGTTTTGCTTGTTGAGAATAATAATTAATTGCCCCCTTTATATTTGCTCCGTGGGATTAACGTAATGGGAAAAATTTGTTGCAACGCATGTGGAGGTGTCTTCGTTTGTTAACTTTTAGAAAGTATTCTCGCACCGTATAAATACATCTCATTTTTCTCTGTTTTGTCAGTAGTTGTTTTTGGTATTATTCGTGCAACGTGGAAGCTAACTTAGTGGTTTGGTGTTCGTACAAAAAAGCAGTAAGTACCTTTTTTATTGTTTTATTTTAATTCTTTAACATTTGTTATTATTTTATAAAGGTCTTAAAGATCATCTTAGTACTCTCAACCCGTAACCGCAAATAGAATAGCAGCAATCTTAAGCGTAAGTTTTTTTTATTTTTTTTATTTTGAGATAAAATAATTAATAATAATTTATAGATGGACTTAAGTCAACTGAATCAAACCTGTCTTGCAGAAGGTGATTTTGAGCAGCCGATTGTCAAACTGCATGAATTGCCGATAGGCGTTCCGTTTAAAATTACTAGAGCCAAAATTGTTAATACAAAATTTGGCAATTCCGTGTTGCTGCAATTAGAAAATTCCGTAGTATTTCTTCCTACTCGCGTGACAGAAGCTTTCCGTCCGAGACTAGAACACTTTGCGTCGGGGCAGTACAAACTGGTCTACGAGGGATCCAAAGATATTGGAAAGCCCAACTCTTTAAAGAAATTCAAAATAATTCAAAATTAATCAACATATTATACAGGGTAAGTCTTATTTACTGTTATATATTTAATAAACCACGATGCGCGTAAAGCAGATCATTCATAGAGCGCAAATCTTAATTTTAACCTTACAAAAATTAAAAAAGCATATTTCCGACAAGTTCACTCTTAGAGATAGTGATGTGTGGCTTAGGAGACTAAATAAAAATATTGAATCTTGCAACCAAATCGTTTCTAACGAAAAGGATTTATCTATTGGGTTAAAAAGAAAATTACAAACTACAATTCAACATCTGAAAGCTATTAGAAAAATTATTCTTAATTATCAACATAAGCATTTTGGATTGGGATTACAAAGTAGTAGCCGCGAGACAAACACAAATGAAATGGTTGTATGGGAATCGGTAGCGTCGTGTTTCCAGGGAAGAGTTCAGACCGGTGTCATAATTAATTTACTTCATAAAGATTTAATTCAATTTTTAAACGATTCTCGTCCAATATTTCAACAAAAAATTAGTCAAATTTTAAAGAAATTTTTATTGCTGAAAGTAAATACCACATTTTGCGGTGAATTTATTAAGGCAAAAAATGATGTCCAAGGCGAAGTTGATGTTAAATATCTGACTACCGGAAATGCTGTAGTTGATTTAGGAACAGAATTGAATGATTGGTTTGTTGAAAATGTGCAAGATAAAATTTTAAATCAAATGTCAGAGTTTCAGGAACGTGATTCCGGGTGGGCTTTAAATAATATTATTTATTTAGAGATTAACATTAATAAATTTGAAATGGGTAACGGGTCATCCTTCGTTGAGTTGCCTAAAGAAATTGCGAATAAAAGGGCTTGTATTAACATTAGAAATGACGATCAAGCGTGTTTTTATTGGTCAGTTGTATGCGGACTCTTTCCAGCACGTTTTCGTCAGTATTTACCCTCTTCATATCCATACTACAAAAGTGTTTTGAAAACTGAAAATTTACAAACACCTATGGAAATGAATAAAATAAGCAAATTTGAAAAAGACAATGATATTTCCATCAATGTTTATATCTTAGAGTATAATAAAAATGAAAAAACTAGTTTTTATTCCGTGTTACCTGCACGATTAACAAAAGAAAAACGCGAAAAACATTCAAATTTGTTGTTAATACAAAATAAATATTATCCAAAAGTTAATGATTTTGATCCTGATCCGCAAGATAATGATTATGAAGAAATAAAATATCACTATTGTTACATTAAAAATTTGTCTCGATTAGTTTCCTCACAGCTCAGTAAATATAATCACAAGAAATACATTTGCGATAGGTGTTTGAATTATTTCAATAACGAAACTCGTCTACATGACCACGAAACAATATGTTCCAGTTTCAATGAGTATAAAGTGTCTTTTCCCAAATATGATTACGTTGAATTTCGAAACCATATATATAAACAAAGGACTCCGTTTGTAATTTACGCCGATTTTGAGAGTCAATTGAGAAAAGTAAATTTGAAAATTTCAGATAAAACCTCGAAATACCAAAAGCACGAAGCTTACAGTGCTGCATATTACTTTAAATGTTCTTATGATGATTCAATATCATTTTTCAAAAGTTATCGTGGTCTAGATTGTATTGATTGGTTCGTGGAGGAAATATCTAATTTATCAAAATTTGTTCGTTCAAAATTACGATTCATCCAGGGATGATTCCTATATCATGTACTTTGACGTCAATAACCTCTATGGCAAGGCCATGTGCGAGCCTCTTCCTTACGGAGGATTCGACTGGATGTCTCATCAAGAGATTGATTCATTTAATGTCATGAACATTCCAGATGAATCTTCCCTAGGATATATCCTAGAGGTAGACCTGGAATACCCGCAGAAATTACATGACACACATAGAGATTTTCCATTTTGTGCCGAACATCGAGTGCCCCCCAATTCAAAGTTACCAAAACTAATGACTACTTTGTATAATAAAGAAAAATACGTCATACACTATCGCAATTTAAAACAGGCTCTCAAAAACGGTCTCGTACTAAAGAAAATTCACAAAATATTAAAATTTAACCAATCTCGTTGGTTGAAATGTTATATCGATCATAATAATAAATTAAGAACCCAAGCAAAAACAAAATTTGGTATAAATTTATACAAATTGTTTAATAATGCCGCTTACGGTAAAACAATGGAAAACATTCGCAAGCATCGTATTGTTAAATTTGTTAAAGCGTGGGATGGTCGCTACGGTGCGAAAAATTTAATTTCTAGTCCTAGATTTCACAGTAGAACCATACTTGATAACAATTTGTTGCTTATAGAATTAAAAAAAACGGAACTTTGCTTTAATAAGCCACTTTATATTGGAATGTCCATATTGGATTTGTCGAAAACGACCATGTACGAGTTTCATTATAATTACATGCTTCCAAATTTGGGTCCCGAAAAATGTAAAATTCAATACATGGATACGGACAGTTTCATTTATAATATCAAATGTTATGACGCATATGAAAGCGTTATTAAGGCCGATTTAACAAAATTTGACACGTCTGATTATCCTAATGACAATCCCTATAATATACCGCAAATCAACAAAAAGGTTTTGGGGTTGATGAAGGATGAGACTAATGGCACCATCATTAGTCATTATGCTGGGTTAAGGTCGAAAATGTATACTTTCAAAATTTTAACGGGTTCGGTAGTTAAAAAGTCAAAGGGTATTCAGTACAATATTGTAAAAAATAAAATTTCATTTGATGACTACGTAGAATGCTTAACAAATTTTAGGGAAAAGTACGCCACTCAACGAACCATTCGTTCATACACTCACAATGTATTTAGCATCGAACAAACAAAAGTTGCCTTGAGTCCTTTAGACGATAAACGTTATCTTTTGCCGAATTCATATGAAACGCTTCCGTGGGGACATTATAAAGTGCCCTAATTATTTTTTAATATATTTTTGTTACAGATTATGGTCAAACAACTTACATTAGAAAGCCTTTGTATTATAACAATTTGCGAAAATATTAGGTGTAGTGCTGATTTTTTGCTTGAGTCACCTTTGCCTTGGAAACTAACGATACTAATATTTAAATATTATTCGAAATATAGATGGAGGTACCTTAAACAATTAGCGCTCCAGTCTGATGGCAATTCTTTATTAAATTTAGAATTCATTCTGTTGAATAAGAGATTTGGATCGTCTTACAGAAATAGCATTTTGGCAACTCCAACCATTGATTTTGACGGAGAATCCGCTTACTGTTTATGGGTCAGTTATTACAGGATAAAATATTCGGAAATTTTAGTTTGTAAATCTTGTCACTTTATATTTCAAGTAGTTAAAAAATTTAAAAAGAAAAATTTTAGACTTTTATTGGATCACTATCATTTACAGCTGGATATAAATAATTTGAATGATGTATATCACGATAAACAATTTTGGTGTCAAAGCTGCTTTGAAGAAGTTTTGTTCACTGTAGAAACTGAAGATGAATGTAATCTAATGCTTCACAATGAGAGGAAATATGGAAAAAAGTTACGCTTTTCTGATAGTCCATTGAACTATTAATACTGTGGTTTTATTATAAAATATGTAACTGTAGATAAGGCTTTTATGTATTGATTGTATTCCATTGTATTGCAACAAGAATAAACATGTATATATTTAGACGCTATTTTCTTTTTTACCACCACCACAACACCGCATAATAATTACACAGAAGTTTGTAATTGTATAATTTATTTATTATATACATTATTACTATTTTACAATTTCGTTAAATGCTAAATTATTAAATTGTTCTAGTTTTCTTTTGCACTCTTGAGCTTGCATCCGCGCCACTTGCAAGTCTGTATTAAAAAGCGCAATTTGTGTTTCAATTTCGTTGATATTGCACTCTAATCCCGACAACTGAGACGCCAAGTTTCTTTTTAAATTGAATGCCTCACAAATGACACTTTTTTCTCTACCGTCCGTGAACACTTCGAGCCAATCAGCGGATGACGTTGGAGCTGCAAACGCTTCACTTGTGGTAGTTTTCTTCTTCTTCTTGCGGGATACGACCGACGCACTTTGTTTTCGTTTTGTCGCAGATTTTTTGGTTTGTTGCTCTACAGGAACGAAGCTGGACGGGAGCACTTCTGATGAAGGAAATTGCAACTCGAAATTTTCCAATAAATTATACAATTCGTTGGATGTCACAATTTGCTCTTGAGCCATCATATACACGTATTTATGTCAGAACTTCTAAATCGAGACTAAATTTATTTCAAAACGTCTACGTTGTCTACCCACGAATCGTGCGACTTATCCAATCCCAACCAGCGCACGAGAACCATATTGCCTCGTCTGCGCAACACCTTTTCGACGAGATATAAGTCCGGGTTAACTGTCTTCTGCAATTCTTCTTCATAAAATCCGCCCATTATGGGTTTACCCTGCATATCTTGAAGCAAATACGTTACGGGGTTAGTAACCCGTACTTTAACAATTTTAAACAATTCCGTGGTCCAATTCGGTGTATAACCTTTGTTAAACACGTGCTTGACTTTGCTGATTCTAACGATGTCGCCGACTTTAAGTTTACGAGGACCGAATATTTTTATGCTACTATACGCGGTTTTCAAAATTCTCTTTTCATTGCTCTTACTCACATCGATGGGTTTCGTACCCGTCGTTCTATGTTTTGTGTTATTGTATTCATCAACGATAGAGGCGAGCACATCGATCCATTTGTACGTCCCGCGTAAAGAAAAATGTCGAAACAATTTCTCTTTGAGGGTACGTATCACCCGTTCGACAATTGAGGCCTTTTTTATGTTATACGTACTATAGTGGTTAATTTTATGCTTATCCACAAGTTTCAGAAACGTGTCGTTGTAAAATTCTTTACCGAGATCCGTTTGCAAGTTTTGAGGGTGCCGTCCGTCCTTGAGAATTTTGGAAAACGCCTTGGCGACTTCGACCCCGGTTTTGGTTTTCAACGGGCGACACCATACATATTTTGAGAAACAGTCTATCACAACCAGCACGAATTTAAAATTTCTGTTTTGTTTGCTGTAGCGATCTAATTGGGCCAGATCCGCTTGCCACAGGTCGTCCATCCCTCGTATTATAGTCCGGCGGCGAGCATAATTTCTGCGTGCCGGCTTGTGCAGTTCTCGAACCAGTTGTACCTTCTCTTTATTCATAATGTGTGTTCGGTTGCGATGGAGGATTTAAAACCCTTTGTTTCAATACCTTCATTATATTCTCATTTTCGTTCGTAAGTCGCTCCATTTTGGTTACAATATCATGAAATTGCTGTGACAAAACGGCGACTTTTGTCATGTGCTTTTCCAAATCTTTCTTTGCGCTCATTTCGCTTAGCTTTTGGTGGAAAACTTCGCGAAACTGCATAATTTCATTTTCGAGTGTAGTGCTACTCATTTTCAGTTGTTCTTCAAGACGCGAGAACTTAGTTTTGTCTTCAATTTGTAATCTTTTCGTGTACGCTTCGAGTTTCTGTCCAATAATCTTTCTCAATGCAATTTTTAATAAATTACTTGTCTCATCCACATATTTTTTGTTAGCCACGTCACCGTCGTCGCTAGGCGTTTGGACATTGCAAATTTTTAAATTGTTCATATTGACGTTTCCGTCTGGCATATAATCGAGGGCGCTTCTAATCACAGTATTAGTGAAGGGTCGTCGCAGCGCGCTAGAACGTCCAAACTTGTCCAGACTCATCGTTAAAACTAACGTATAAAACCTGATTCTTTTAGCTCTTCAACGATTGAAACTATTTCGTTATCATGAGACGTGTTGCCTGCGTGTTTCGACGCGATTAGTAATTTCAGACGCTCTACGAGTTCATTGACGTCGTCCCAGTATACATATTCAGTAGGAGCGTCATTATAACGCATATTATAACCTTGACCGCTGTACGAGTACGAACGCGACTGAGATTTTATTAAGGGTCGGATGACCTTGGTATATTTTGGTACAGTCGATGCGCCTTTCAAACGTCCGATCGCGTCCCTGTGCACCTGGGTAGCCTCCATTATTTTTTTATATTGTGCCAAATCGTCTTTTGTGTATGCTATGGGATCTTTCAAAAACACCAAATTATACAAGCCGCGGGTACCGGAATATCTCTCGCCGTCTACAATAATATCGCCAGATCCTTGATGAAAATCCAGCGATTTATTGCCGAGAAACCATTTGGATGATATTTTGTCGTAAACGGGTCCGTAAACAATATCGGTGTCGGGCGATTTTACCCATAAATTTTGAATATATGAATGGGAAATTTCTGGATATTGTTCCAGGTATGATTGAAGGGATGCGTTGGCCACGCTCGATGTGTCAAACACATCATCTTCCTCCTCATCGATATTTTGCATCTCAACGCTCTTATTGGGATCCGGCGTTTCCTGAATTTCTTCCATAGGCAAAAATGATACGTTAACCTTATTTTTTGTTTCTTCGTTCGGTTCCTTTTTGTGTTCCCGCTTGACACCTCGACGTTCAGTTTTTATTTCTGCCGGTGACGGTGATAGCTTTATTTTTGCTATACGTTCTAGCGGCTCGCTGACGGGTTTGAAAAGCTTCCGAATTGACGCATCCTCTTCGCTCTTACCCAATTTTAATGTTAAATACTTCTTTCGAATAGATCTAGACAACTCGTTTACTTTTTTTTTAGCGCCGCGTCGGCGATGTCGGCGGACGTCGCCTTCATGACTGTTTCTATCGACAATTAAATATCGACTTTTATATATTTGTCGAAACCCTTGCGGTAGCGTCCGTTTTTTACGTCGAAATCTTTGACAATTATCAAACAGCCGTACTTTTCTTTCCAGCACTCGGAACAAATTTGTTTAAACGTGTCGTATGAAACGTCGGGTGAGACATGTTCATCATAAACGTGACGTAAATTCATGTCATCCTGTTTAAACAACGCGACAATATTGCAATTGTCACGTATCAATTGCTTGGGTACCTTGGAGTATGTCTGACAGAGATAAATAGCGTCGATGGCCTTGTGTCGGCACATCGAAAAATACTCGCGAATTTTATCTTGCTTGTCGCACGCCACGTCGTCGAAAATAAACAGAGAATTCTCTTTCGCGTCGCTGGGGTCGATTATCGAGTCTCTTTCACTGTAGGGATAATATCCAACTCCTTTGACATTGCTCAATACGCGAGATAACAGTTGATATTTTGGTTGATACAACGACTTTGAGTAGACGTAAACATTTTCGAAACTTGCCCCGTTGGGGTTAAAGAGTAGCGCTAACATGGTGTTGGTTTTGCCGCAACCGCTAGGTCCGCAAAACACCGCCCTAAATGAATTGGGTAGCAGTTGACCGTGTTTGCTTTTGTTAAAGAAACCATCTCCGCAAACCAAATCTAAATTATCGATGGGGAGCTTGAGTTTCTGCTGCACCACCCGCATGACTACAATGTTTATTCGAGACACCTCGTATATATATACGACACAAGCAATTTCCTTTAATTAGTATGTTATGCTTCGCGTCCGGAAGTGGTCTCGTTAACACGCTTATTAACAAGTTACCTTTTGAAGTACACATTCCGGGTTACCAGTTTTGCGGTCCCGGTACAAAATTGGAAAAACGCTTGAACCGAGGCGATAGCGGGGTGAATCCTTTGGACGCTGCGTGTAAGGTACACGACATTGCCTATTCGCAAAACAAATCGTTAGACGAACGTCATAAAGCGGATAAAGAATTGGAAACGCGTGCGTGGCAGCGAGTAAAATCTAAAGACGCAAAGTTTGGTGAAAAAGCTGCCGCATTCTTTGTCACCGCGACTATGAAAACTAAACGTAAGCTCGGTATGGGTCAACAACGGCGTCCCTCTGTTTCGTTTCGACAGGGTGTCGTGAAAAAGGTTCGCAATGCATTAAAGAAGAAACAATTGTTTCATATCGATAACCCTAAAATGCTTAGAAGATCGGCACTGGAAGCGCTTCGAGCTGGCAGAGCCGCTGTAAGAAAAGCGGGAGGACGTAAAAAAATTAGGGTACCTAGAATTATACCGTTCGAATCAAAATCGGGCGGTATTTTACCACTTTTACCGTTATTAGGAGCGCTAGGGGCTTTAGGTTCGCTCTCGGGCGGAGCCGCTGCTATCGCTAAAACTGTCATCGATGCGAAAAACGCACGAAAGAAACTCGAAGAGGCCAACCGCCATAACCGAGCTATGGAAGAGATTGGAAAAAAGGGATCGGGTCTATTCTTGAAAAAGAGTCCGCGCGGCGGATTCGGTCTTTATCTGAAGAAACAAAAAAACTCCCAATAAAGCTACCCAGAAGGGCTCTATACGACGTCGATTTAATATCTCTGGCGCGCAAATTAAAAATTCCTCACTTCAGGGGTGTTTTTATGCGAGATAGTTTACCCCGTCGAATCAGATCGCAAGAATGCGGAATCGTAAATTTGGATGTTCGTCGAAATAGAGGAACCCACTGGGTAGCATACAAAAAGAGGAAGGGAAACGATGTTGAGTATTTTGACAGTTTCGGTAACCTTAAACCACCCGCGGAACTTGTTAAATATTTCGGCAACAGCGCCAATATCTACTACAATCACGATAGATATCAAAAGTTTACGCAATACAATTGCGGTCATTTGTGTTTGCAATTTCTCTATAAAAAGGACTGAAATCGCGGATCTATAAGCAGTCAACA